ATATATATATATATATATATATACTGTATATGCATTACAGTGTTTGTTTAGTTTGCTGCTGTTTTTCTTTTCAAATGAATAACTTGTCATTAGCCGTTAGCATAGCCTGGAGCGCGTACGTCAAGGTCAAGGCCGCCCGAGCCAGATTTTGCTTTTTGTTCACAAAATAACATTTTCACTGGATTAAAACTGGGCTACTAGTCTGTGAAAAATTTAATAGTATTTTGTTTAAAACCTGATTGTAATGTACTGATGCTTAAAGGCAGGTACAAAAATTTTAGGATGAGAACATTCAGTTGGAATTTATTGGTAATCTTTGCTTTTGATATAAGAAGCAACAAAAATCATCTAAATGGGACTGATTGAACTCTTCATTAAAACTGAGCTAGAATTTTCTTACTCCAGTAATTTTTACAGGTAAATTGATACAGAAATGTGACATGCAGGATTAAGTTTGGGTCAATCCATGGATGTCATCATGACCTTCTGACCTTTTATTTTTGTCTCCTAACAGCTGCGTAGTGGACGAGATGGATTTCTCCAACATGGAACTGGATGAAGCTCTGAGGAAGTTTCAGGCTCACGTTCGTGTTCAGGGAGAAGCGCAGAAAGTGGAGAGACTCATTGAAGCTTTTAGGTGAGACCCGATCACAACCCGGCAAACACTGAGCAGAGCTTTTCCCGTCTCTCTGAACCTCAGAAAAGGACCAGACTTTTTGCTGCAGCCTAATAGGAAAAACATGAAAGCAGTGACAGAGTTCAGACATTTTACAATCGTGTTTTCAGTCTGAACGACAGGCTAATAGGACGACTGTAAAGACGCACAGTGTTTAGCTGCTGTAAGCCGGGATGACACCAAACGTATGATTAGTGAATTACACTGATTGCCTGTAACCTTTAACTAAACACTGCAGTGTGTTTGATTGTAAGCCACAATCACAACAGAGCCCTTCACTGCAGGCAATCAGTGTGGTTTTCATTGTGACAAAAATAGATGCTCTATTTTACTACTGTCTCTCCTGGATCACACATCATGCTTGACTGATCTTCTTTTGAGGGTACCTGGAAAGTTGTATTTTTGTTTACTAGTTGAATTCAAGCCAAGGCTACTTATAAGAGCATATTTGCAGTCAAAAGCATGGAGCCCGAATTAAACTTTTGCTCATTTTCTCAATCCTGAGTGAATAAATGTGAGCATTTCTGCTTGAACGTGACTCATTTAAACATCTGAGGACCTTGAGAGACCAACATCAGTTTGTCTGCACCGTGGACTGTTTTGCTTTTAACAAACTCATAGGAAACGTTTTATAAGGCTGTTTTATCTTTTGGCTGAAAATGATTTCGAAGCAACCAGACAAATAAGAGCTGCAGCAGGTGCTTTGTTCTGTCTTTGGAATGTTCCAGTGTTATCTAAAGTTTGTCCTCGGGACTAAACAAACAGCAAAAATCCCATTTTTTGTTTGCTGCTCCCGAGTAATAGCTTGTGTTTAGGATCGTTCTGCTGATGCGCTGCCATTTCCCTGAGGAGTGTCACCAGCATGACAGGACTTGAGTCATTGTTGCTTTGAACTTATTAACTGAAATGTCCTTTCTTACAACAAGGACAAGTGGTTACTATCATCAGAACTGTTCTGGCATGCACTGCTTACACCCAAATTGTTTCTAATTATCGGTAAAAATGTGTTCTAGCTACGTGTTTGCCATGGTTGCTTAGCCGTGGAGGAGTAAATCAGTTGTAGAAGTACATCCATTGATTGCTTTTACTAAAATATGTCCAGTGGTTATTGTTAAAGGAAATCAGAGAAGGGCTTGTTCCAGAACAGAGTTCAGCCATGGAAAATTTTTTTTTAAAGCTCAATAATTTTAAAACACTTCAAGTCAATTCTTTTATTTATTATTATTTTTTTATTTTTGTAAAAATTTATACAGGCTGGTCCTGTTGCATTGAGTTCAGAGTTTGTCACAATATATTCTGTGTATAAACTGTAAAAGAAACATATTAAATACTCAGTCAGTAGAACTGTATGACGGCAAAAATGGTGTAAAAATCCACAACATAATATTTGTCTGAACAGATATAATTTTTTGAGGTTTGACTTGGTTTAGATATGTTATGAAATAATCACTCTAACTAGTCGTTAGCTTGACTTCCTTCATTTCTCTCTGATTCTGCAAACTGGGATAGTTTTGATTGCTATCTACTGCAGGTTAGATACTGACTGTCTATAACATCACAAATACCCTTTTATTGGTATTAGTAACACACAAACCCATGCATATTGACCACTTTGACTGTTAACACATTTTTTAAACCATGTTTACCACATGCATTTGCACTGATAATCAGAAGATAATATAAACAACACATGGAAGTACAGATGGTGGGAATGTTGTTTGTTTCGTAGATATTTGGAAGCCTTGAAACCAAATTTCAAAACTTCTTCTACATCTGATCTTCTATTTAACAATGCCTCTCCCTATTTTTTAAATTAATTTCTCTAAATATATTTTTATTTTAGCAATAAAAGGACACAATTCTGCATATTATCACAAATTTCATCCAAACTATCCAAAATAAATTGAGAAAAGTCATAAACCTTTTTTAACACTGCGTCAATTTTAATTTTATTTATAAAAGAAGTTCTTGGATTTTTTTTATAACAGATACTGCTAATGGT